AAAAGGCCCAGCCACTGACTGACTTGCTGCGCAAGGACGCCCCTTTCCACTGGACACCAAATTGTGAGTCAGCGTTTAAGCAACTAAAGTTCGCTCTCACTTCCGGGCCAATACTATGCCACTTCGATCCCTCTGCTTCCACGGAAATCCACACCGATGCCAGTGGAGTTGGTCTCGGCGCGGTGCTTATTCAACGACACAACAATGCTGAACACGTCGTCGCCTATGCAAGCCGGTCCCTGAGCAAGGCAGAGCGTAATTATACGGTTACCGAATTGGAGTGCCTCGCCGTCGTTTTCGCCGTACACAAGTTTCGCCCCTACATCTACGGTCGTCGTTTCTCAGTCATCACCGATCATCACTCTCTTTGCTGGTTGGTGAGCCTACGTGATCCATCTGGTCGACTTGCGCGATGGGCCATACGGTTACAAGAATTTGACTTCACGGTCCGCTACAAGAGCGGTAATCGCCACGCAGACGCTGACTGCCTGTCACGGCTTCCTCTACCAACGACCGAGTGTGAAGCTGATAATTTTGACGATTTTATCACAGCTATTGACTCTCATTTTCCTGACATCGCGGCTTTCCGGACAGCACAGCACGAGGATCATTGCTTAGATCACCTGTTTGCCTCCGCGAATGACCCGGCCAGTTCAAGCTCTTTTGTAGTCCATGACGCCGTCCTTTACAAGAAGAATTATTCTGGCCAAGGCGCCCGTCTGCTTCTGGTAGTTCCACGCACTCTACGTCCCCAAATTTTTCGGTTCTGCCATGACAACGCAACCAGTGGGCACATGGGCTTCGCCAGAACGTTTCATCGCATCCAGCAAAGGTTTTACTGGCCCAAGATGCGACGCGACACAGAAAAATACGTAGCCGGTTGCGAACAATGTCAACGTCACAAGCGTCCCACGACTACATCACCCGGACTTCTCCATCCCGTACCACCTCCTAGCTCTCCCTTCGAGATTGTTGGTGTCGACCTTCTAGGTCCGTTTCCGCGTTCAGCCAGTGCCAATCGATGGGTCATCGTGTGCGTCGACCACCTGACGCGCTACGCAGAAACTGCGGCTATACCTACTGCAACAGCCTTTCACGTGTCGCAGTTTATGCTTCGGCATATCATTCTCCGTCATGGCCCTCCACGAGTCGTCATTAGCGACCGGGGACGTCAGTTCGTCGCTGACGTCGTTGAAGAGATCCTACGCCTGTCTGCCAGCCAATTCCGCCACGCAACCCCGTATCACCCCCAGACGAATGGCCTCGTAGAGCGGACCAACAGGACGCTAACGAACATGTTGTCAATTTATGTTGATGCCAAGCACAAAAACTGGGACGAAGTACTGCCCTATATCACATACGCCTACAACACCGCGAAACACGAGACAACAGGGTACGCGCCCTTTTTCCTGCTCTACGCCCGCTCCCCTCGCAGTTGCCTCGACACCATTCTGCCTTTTACGTTAGATGTGGAAACATCGGTTGCCGAGTCACTATGCCGCGCTGAAGAAGCCCGTCGCGTCGCACGCCTTCGAACCATTGCATCTCAACAGCGCTCCAAGACCCGGTACGACGCCCACCATCACTCCGTTGCCTACACAAAGGGTGACCTGGTGTGGTTGTGGACACCTGTCCGCAAACGTGGTTTATGCCAAAAGTTTCTGGCCCACTACTCCGGACCATTTGTAGTCATTGACCGTCTCAGTGACGTCACATACGTCATCTCCGGCGTCACAAGCAATGGTCGGCGCTCTACCAAGACACAGCTGACACACGTCGCGCGCCTCAAGCCATATCACCACCAACCTTCCTATTGACTCGCCCAGTGGGCGTCGTCTGCGAACGGGGGAAATGACACACCTCGATGGGCGCATGAAGAGGAAGAGGTGAAAGCGGTCTGGCTCACGAGCAGCTCGGTCGCCGGTTTCTGGCTCTGAGCTGTACCGATCTCAACCATTTCCTGTAAATAAACGCGTTCCTTCGTCACAATATTTAGAACACGGCTCTCATGCACATAGCTCTGGGGGCGAAGCTTGTGTAGATATACATTTCACACATGAGGTCCAACGCTGTGGAGGCTAGCGAGACTTTTTGCAATGAATACTACGACAATGTTTCCATCTGAGGAACTTATTTTCCATTTTGGGCTTAGTAATAAATGAAAACACTTTGTCCACAAGAGATAAAACAGAGTTTTAGAATAGCGGTGTGGTCACTGCCACTGCGCACGTGTCGTAACGTGTGTCGCCGTCCGCATGCAGAATATCCGAAATAGCGTGCGGTGATCGCGGCCCGCGAAGTGCTGTGTGTAGCTTCCGTGCATTTGGGTTTGCGGTCGGGCCTAAAGTCTCTAGACCTTTCTTTAGGGAGAGTAAACGCTTTTCTAAAGCTCATATAGCGCCCGATATGCCCGCAACGCCGCAAATGGTATTCTAAAACTCCCTAAGGCACCCCGTTATACGGTTCACATATAGCCTCTGTTTTCATTTCTTGATATTTTATTTGCAGCCTTTCGGGATAGTACACGTGCGCACTCGTGCTCTTTTCGCACGAGCGCTTCCAAGCATGAAAGCTAAGCGCGAGACACGCGCCATTGCTTCCACAGCGTCGCACCTGATTGATGAAATTGAGTACACGAATCCGAAGCTCAAATTTGCGGAGCGACGATAACGCCACGCCTGGCCCTGGCGGCGAGTTCCCGAAAACTTTAGGAGAGACGCGGGAGAGGTCGCAGGTCAGCAGTTATGCCAACCTTAGAAACTTATCCCTAGATCTAGAGATTTTCAGCCTTCTTTAGTGATTTGGTGTCTTTTGTGTGGAATCTAGGGATTTTTGTAAGGCTCTGGAAATTTTATTTGTTTATTAATTTACAGAATACTGTCAATCTCCCATGGAGATTATTACAAGAGTGAGCATCACTGTGACAACGTCTGACGTTTGAAACGAAAAAAAAATCAGAATAATAAAGAACATATAATCGCTGAACACAGCAGTACGGCGTAAAACAATCATACATAGTCATTTGTACCATAACCAAGTACAAAGTACTCCGATGGTACACCGACAAAAAAACAGGGATTGAGAAGAAACGAAGCCTAGAAAGAAGAAAAACACAGATCGGTATTATTATCAAATAACCGTATAAACAATAAATATATGCAGACAAGGGCTTTGGTATGACAAATGTGACATTACGTGGCTTAATTAAAGGCATTACTAAGTGATCACGCTCTTTCAACTAGAAAGAATGTAAAAATGAATGGGACATGGAAAGGCTGTAAAAATTGATTAGAATATTTCTTTTTTTCTGTTTAAGAGTGTCGTGGTTTGAAGGGAATATCTGTTTTGTAACGCGAGATTCATATAGAATCAATACTAGGGAAAATCACTCTTGAGTGATAAGAGCTAAGCACGCGCATATCATGAGCTCCATAAGTGATTGCTGCACTCTGAATGATAGATAAATTTTGTCTTGCAGAGCACATGAACAAGTGTCAAGATTACACACACCACGCGCCTTCGCCGACCAATGTCTCCATGTGAAATAACCAGAAACATTAACAAGAACAGAGCGAAAGTAGGACTCAAGATTTGGTAAGGTGGTATACGGACCATACGGGTTCAATATTGTGGAAACGGTCTACTGAAAAAAAAAAAAGACAAGTCTGTTCGGGTGTTTTAGTTTTTCTGCCGTGCCCTTTGCATGAGAGCGGGAAAGTGACGAATAGATTTGGGCAAACCGGGAGCTGATCGAAAGTACAGGGGAGATGCGCAGCTCTCAGGTAGTAATTGCGTGCCCACTTACATCTACTGAAAATATTGCAACAGTGACTGCAAATGTGGAAAATTAATACAGCACCAACTTGGCGCGGTAAAACGAGACGCTCGCCGCTTTGCGAAGTTGGCTTTCCGCGGTGGAAGAAGCGGCTCGACGGAAGCATCGGCGAGGTCCGAAGTATTGTGTTGTGGGCTGCCACAACAATGCAGATAACACCAAGGGACGTTCTCCACGTGTAAAGCTGTATCAGTTTCCCCACAAGTCAGAGCCGGTGAACACAGCCGCGTTCGCGAAAGATAAAGCAAGCATAACACGAAAGCCAAAAAAAAAAAAAAGTTGAGCACTTCAATTTGACTCGCTGTGGTTAAACTTCAGCTTGCTGCTTCGTGGGGACGTTAGCGGGTCATGTTCCTGCGGCACGGAGGACATTACTCTAAATCTTCTCGCACATTTTAATGCCATGACCGTATAATTTCAGCTTTTATTTATTTGTTAGCACGCCGCAAACGTTTGCACATGACAGTACACGGCTGCCACTGCTAGACACCACATCAAAACAGCAATTATAATATTTCTATAAACGTCAACATAGCACATTGATAGAGTACGCGGCTTCATGTCGGCAGAATGAGACTTACCTCGAGGCATAGGTCGTACATTGTATTATCACGGAGGACCTGATAAATGCATTTCGCAGTGACTGGGTTGTCCTCGTATTCTGTCGTCTGCTCCACATCATAAACTTGACTAACGAGCTCCTTTTGTTAGATTCGCTTCTCAGAAGTGCTTGAACAGATCTTTATGAAGCTGCACGGCAGGCGGTACATTGCGAGGTGACTCAAACGCAGCGCGCTCTCTTTGCATGAGCACGTAAGTGAGCGGCAGAGCGTTGGCGGGAAGGGAAAACGTGCAATATACATACCCGATTTCTACTTTTCCACCAAAGATGGCGCTGCCTGTCACGAGTCGCAGCGCCACCATGCGTTGCTTTGGCTTCCTATAGGTAGGGGCCGACTAATACATACCTATTATACGATACCAAGGAAATACCTATTGGCCTTTCGTGGAGTGTTCATTGGAAGCGATGATGCCGCATTCGCGAGATACCAAGAGGCGATTTCCTTTCTAAGAATCGTAATGACTCTGCCGGATATAGACATTTTTTTTCTCCAATTCCACTTTCCTACAAAGGCATGCGCTAAATGAATGAGAATTCAGTTTAAAGTGTCATGCGTTAAAACATGTTTTATTGCCGCGTATTCACATGGACAATATGATTGTAGCTCTTGGGATAAAAATGGGCGGTTATAAATAAAACGTTCGATACATGTAGCGCGTCACCGGTTGTCTCAATTTTCTGTACGAATTTCCAGTACGTACAGCAACTCTACACAGTTCATCACACGTACTTTTATAGCCTATTTCCATCGCATCTATTATTGTCTATCACACGTATGATAACGTACACTGAGGATAGGTTGAAGTACAGTTGAGGCCGGCCATCCCTTCGCGGACGGCGCGTTCATACTTGAGGCCCTTCAGGTAATCACTGCAAAAAGAAAAAAAGAACAAAAACGTTGCGAATAATAAAGGAAAGCTCACATAGCGTGTAAGGAGAATGCGATCCCTGCTGAATTTCAAAAAAAAAAAAACGATGCGAGAGTTCTCAAAAGAGAGTAAGATAGCACGTTCTGTACAAAAACGGAGGTTGCTGCCGCAGGGCTTCTTGAGGTGCTCAGCGAGCGCGTTTGCGTCAACCTCGGTGTGCCACGTCATCTGCAACAGCAGCAGTGTTGAAGCATGGCCTCCTCGATTAGCTCCATCAACAGCACGTCATGTGTTAGTCACGGAGGCCACGGTTGAATATACGAGAGATGCTTGTTCACGTGGTGCTCGAATGTTTGTCGGTATACTCATAGATATCACAATCCAGCTACATAAAGTTCAGCTTCAATGCTTACTCGAACCTTCGTCCCAGAAATGGTGTAGCAGTTCGGATCAGTGAATGCAGCATGGCTTGGCAAAAAAAAATAATGCATATGATGTTTTCCACGCCCACAATTTCGGCGCGCTTGTGCGCCGGCATTGTGGGCGTGTAAGGCTAAACAAAGCAGGGTTATTAGTAAAGCAGTGAAGTGTAAAACGAGGGATTCTAGCAAGAAAACAGTAACATGCCGGACACTTGGAATGGCACTCTACAGCAATTTCGTGTGCACCGCCGATCGGCCCTTAATCAAAATTATAATTTGAAGTAGCCGTGAAAGATAGTCTAACTCACCTTAGGTACCTCATTAGCATGACGCTCATCGGATAATCCCTAACCAGCCTGGAAACAGAGTCGCATACTTGGAACGAAGAGCACTTCGAAGACTTATTCGGCTTCTGGGTTGAAGCCGGGCCCTTCATTGACGTGGCAGCCACAGGAGCTTCCAAGGTCAGTCCGGAAACGTCCGGCTCCTCGGTCGTTGAAAATCCCGACGTACTGACGGTGGGCTCAGTTGTCGCTCCAGTAGTAGTCGTCAACGCGCTTTCCATCGTGGTCGCCTCAGAAGTCGTCGCAACTGGAGTCGTCGCGGACATAATGGATGCCACCCACGATGCGGGTACGAAATTTCGTGCCCACTTCATGACGGCCTCTCTTGCGGGAAAGTCCGTCGGCAGGTCGCCCGCTCCAGCGGCTCTTGCGGACTCGGACCTGGCCGTGAAGACTGAGGTCACCTTAAGTAGAGACTCCAGCTGCGGGAAAGTGAACAGGGCGACGTAGAGGAGGAGATAGAGGGCCACTAGCACTTCGAAGGGCAGATTCAACACGTTCATGGCTCCCAGGACAAAGGCCTTGGCCAGGGGCACCAGTACGGCGATCAAGGCTACGGCGTAAGGCAACGCGACGGCGGGCAGGAGTAGAGAGAACGCTTTGGAGCCTTCGACAATGGCATCATCTACGTCGTTAGGAGACCGCAAGGTTGGGTCTGCGGACGTAGTAGCGAAAAACAGGGCAAGCAACAGGAAGCTCTTCATCTTGCTCAAAAAGATCGTGGTCACTTCAGAACTTGGGCAAACAAAGAAGGTTGTCAGCAGAATGTTGGCCGCACCTTCTGGAAAGCGGGGGCGAAATTGAGACGCTGGCGGCACGTGGAAAAGAAGAGCCGACAACGCGAGCAACACCGTGAATGAAACGGTCTAGCCTCGGAAGGGGGTGGTAACCAAACAGGTCACGGGTTGGTCAGGCACACGAAAAAATATTTCGAATGATTTCAAGCCTGTCGAAGTGCTGACAGTTATCCGTTATGGTCGAGGGAGTGGCGGGAGATGTTTAAGAGGCTAGATACGATAGTAGCGCATGTGTTTCGTTTATCTTCTATGCATATAGCCACAACGCACGCGTCAAATCAGCTGATAAACTTTGGCCGGAAAGGCTTGCTGCTAGCATCTCGATCGCGCGTCGTTGACTACAGTTACTACGTCGTCACACGTGGAAGCGTTAACGCAAGGGAACTTGCAGATAAGGCGCTTTTAGTCGCCCTGCTGCGCGGAGAAATGCAATAAATTGTCCCACAGTGCCTTCACATTATGCGCTTGTCTTGCGAAGGCGCTGTTAGCTTTCGCTTCGTTGGGATTTTAACAGTTAAGCTGTTTTAACAAATCATGACTGTGAGTCGATCGCATAAAACGATCATCGCGATAAACGGATATGTGACACGTAAATTGGCCGAATCTCACTACTCGCCACTTGTCCATTAAAAACGAAGAAGGCTACAGATAGCCGAACACTGCGAAGCGACGATGGGGAACCTCGAGTGCGCACGGCGAGAGAATACCGGGTAACGGGAGAGACAACGACGGATACGAGAAGATACCGAGGCGATAAAGGCCTACGTCAACGCTCGTATACGAGAGGTGAGATCACTTGGTTTCCCCGCTAGTTTCTGTTTCTGGAGTTTCGACAACTGTGACTTGTCTGCAGCTTTAACTCGAACCTCTTTTCGGGGTGAATTAACGGGAAAATAATCTAGCATCACGTATACGCTAAGGCCCAGAAATAACCTAGAAACAAGCAGATTTGCCTTCAAAGTCACCCAGTCTTGCGCGATTCGGTGCTAGCATCGCCATTTTTTTTGTTTAGTTTTGTGCTGCTTACTTTTGAGAGGCTGAGACAACGTAGGCCTCAAGCAGTTCGCAATAAATAATAATGTTGATAACAATAATATGTTAATAATATAAATATCTGCGTATGTAATGTGAAATAAGTCACGCAGTATACATCATGCATAAGACGGCTAGAAGGAGAAAGCTAGCATCCAACGTTTGATAGCGCTAATTAGTTAAAATTCACTTGGAAGTGCATTTGAGCGGAAATGAGGAAAAAAAAATCAGAGTTCACTCAGGCTCTTGGACTCGCTCAGACTCAATCACCAAAATATTGCTCAGTTGGACCCATTCAGACTCACGGCTGTGTCAGAGTCTGAGTGATTCAACTCACGAATCCGTTAGCATGCCGTTAGCACGTTTTGTCTAAGGTGTCGGTGTTTTTTTAAAACCAATATATCTCGCATAATCGATGCTCGGCTTGGCGCTTTTGATCTTGTATCCTTGAATACGTGCTATCAGTGGTCGCAATCCACTGAGGCCAGTTTTACTGAAAGTCATGACTCACATGTCATGTTTTTAACAGCACCTTTCCGTGAAAAAATGTATATATGGGGGAAAGCTCGGAAGGGTCATGCCTCCTTCGCCCTCCGCATTTCGCACGTCTCTTCAATTGCTATGGAGCTGGCGTATGAACGCTACTGCGTTGATGTGTGAGTAGACATGATTAGTATAAATGTGAGCCGACGTAAGGCTCATCGTACTACTGCAGCTGAGTAGGTAGGACGAGAGATCGGCAAAACAATGTGGAGTTTACTTCGACTCACTGATTAAATGAATCCTCGCTCTGAGTGCTCTATTGGACCCACACTCAGTGCCAGATTAACAGTGTGGAGGCCCCGGTTAAAAAAAATAATAAGGGCAGCCCCTCGCTCCGCCCCTTTTCTTTCCTGCTTTGTCATCTGGTCATGCTTGACACTTTACGTTTTTTGAGATTTAGCTGCAAAGAAAACAATCCATATTTATTCTATAAATAAGCCTCTCCGGAGTGTTTAATGTCACCTGGGCATCTTCTTTCTTGCAGTGTTGTGTGCACACTGATGTGCACACACGAAATTTCTTTAAACATAGAATGCTTCCTAAGAGCCGCGCTGTCTAAAGGATCGTTGAGCGTGGCAGCGATGTCATGTGATCGCGAAAAAGCTGCACGCATCCGGTCGGCTCGGAGAAGCATCATGCTCATCTGAGAAGCCCGTGCTTGCATGTGCTATGCATGGCATCGCGTGAAAAAAAAGTTCGGAAGTGATGGTCGGTTGAACATCCCCCCCAAAACACTCAAGCAATTGCGCTTAGGGTCTGCTGGCGGCCAGATAGTGGGTATATGTTGTTGGTGTTTCCTGTACACAACCTTTACCAAGTGATGGTCTCTTTAATTTCCCTATATTTGGTCATTCCAGCGACGCAGGCAGCGCCATGTAGCCGTGCACCGAAGCTGTCACACGGTGATAAAACAGCGACGTAGTTAGGTCTCTCATTCATAAACCAATGAACGCGTCTTTACGCTCCACGACGCTCGCGTAAACGCTCGCGATATCACCACCTCGTCCGCCATTTCGACCTTCTGCTGCACCGCCTATATTCGCTGGAATGGTTGAATAATTACCAAGCAGGAATTAAGACAGAATGAGAATGCCAGGAGCGAACAATGAAACCATTACTTCTTCGGAGTCCTTGCATAATCACAAAGTTCCGTACCATACAAATATTTCATGATTTGTGTGCTTTGTTTACACTATAATTAAAGCATACTATAGCATACCTATGCGTCAGCTTCATGCCAGTTATTTTCATTTCACGCATTAAACAATATTTCAAACAGGAACCACACACTTCGCGCCTTCACATTGCGTGTTAGACCGTAGCTGCTAAACTCGGGCTGCTCTATGTGTCCATCCGCTGGGCCAGCTCTTTCCCTCCACACGATGCATGATTTGGGCGAGTGAAAGGTTTTTACCACAGACTGCAGAACTGTGAGCTGACTACAACACCTTGCACGTTATGCAACGAAAAACGTCTTAGAAGCTTGTATATTGATTGCTGAACTAGATAATCTGTTTCTATCGGGGCAATCAACAGGAGAGTTGAACTTTCTCGAACAAAACAAACAAGTCGGGCACTCTTTCCTGGCCCTTGGGAGGCCCCCTAAAATCAGAGGGCCCGGTTTATTTGAACCATTTGAACGCTGGATAATCCGCCTCTGCCCACACTAACCATTGGCGTACGTGGGGGGAGGGGGAGAGTGGCGCCCCCTGATCATTTTGTTTTATAAGAGAAGGGGCGCATAGCCAGGTCCATACATTAACAAAAGCGGAGCGCTCCGACCCGGGGAGGGATGAAGAGGTCAATAGAGTGACAACTAAGCGAGGAGACTGCTGGGAAAGCCCTCCCCCCCCCCCCACCACCAAAAAAAAAAATTGGCCTTGCATGTTACACTGCAAATGTCGTCGAAAGACGATAGTCATGCGTCTGCAAAGAGTGAACAAAACGTTTATTTGATGTTCTGCGCAAGAAAATCGGTGAATGGTGTTCTGGAGGCGCCGGGTGAGTGCCTCGAGCTGCAGAGAGTGGAGGCGAACAAGCGCATCAAGTCACGTCACACGTGAGACATGAGCGCTATCTGGCAGTTATCTTGGAAAACGAAGCGCGCCCGCCCTGCGCATCTGTCTCGGAGGTGATAAGGTGTAGAAGGCAAGGCGACAGCTAGGTGCCAACACCGTGTAGTCTTAGCAAAGCGTTGGAAGCACTTTCCTTTTCGTGCAAGCGTTGCCTGGTCAGCGCAACGTGATAAACGCTACAGTCCTTATATTTACGTATGTATGCTTTTTCTAGTAAGAGCCACTCGTACAGAATATCGATGTGTTGTTATGGTGCCTCAGATATGCGCAATAATTGCTTTTTAATTGACAATCAGACAAGTATGAACGCTGAACCTTGAGCAATATTGGTGGGCGCTGCGGATGGGGTCGGTTGTTCGAATTGTCGTTTGGACACTTTGGTGCCGTTCAAGGTACCGTTAAAGGCGGACAACCAGACAAATGTAGGAACAGACAGACAGAAAAAAAAAATTTGCGTCGAAGGGGGATAAACAAGAGGGAAGGCAGGGAGGTTAACCAGGCACATGCCCGGTTTGCTACCCTACGTTTGGGGAATAGGAAGGGAGCATAAAGATGAGAGAAAGAGAAGAGAATGAGAGAGAGAGAGAAAAAAAAGGAGGATTGTCAGTCAATCGGCTGACGCGTATGCAGCGGTGGCACTACACAAAAGTTAGAGGTGGTCACACAGGCCTGTAGTCCTCAAAAAGCACAAAACAGCTTTGACTGCTTTTTGAGCCGACGAAAGGCGATGACGGTGTTCCAGTAGCATCTGCACAGAGAGTGGCCGATCGTCCAATTGTCGCAATGCGTCCGAAAGCTTCTGTCTTTAACAGCTTCAGAGGCAAACCGAGGGCAATGGCATATCAGATGGTCGATGTCTTCTTTGGTGCAGCAGACGTCGCATTCCGCATTGTCGGTCAATCCGATGAGCGTTCTATATGCTTTTGTGAAGGCAACCCCCAACCAAAGGCGACAAAGAAGTGAAGCTTCACGTCGACGAAGTCCGGATGGAGGTCGAAGTTCCAGTCGAGGGTTTATTTGGTATAGTCTCGTATGTCTTATGCCGGGAGTGTTCCACTCCTGCAGACTCAGACTACGTACCAGGTGACGAAGTTGCTTTGCAGCGTCAGTCCTTGACAAAGGAATCGGAAGGTTGTGTTCTTCTTGGTGTGATGTGCGAGCCGCATTGTCTGCGGAATCATTGCCACTGATCCCACAATGGCCAGGAAGCCACTGAAACTTGACCTCGTGGCCTGTTTCTGTGACGTGGTGAACAAGCTTGACAACTTCGTAAGTTAATTCTTCATGGCAACCTCGTCGAAGGACTGGCTGCATGCTCTGTAGGGCTGGTTTTGAGTCGGAAAACACAGCCCATTCACTCGGTCTTTGGGATTTGATGTACTCTAGGGCACCACGCAAAGCCGCAAGTTCTGCCACTGTAGACGTAGTGACATGTGACAGTTTGATTCGCAGAGTGATTCCTCTAGCTGGAATCACCACCGCACCACCAGAACCAGACGCTGTGGTTGA